CAATTCTATGATTCTATGTCCCAGAGGACTGGCAGTTGCTAAGTATGGAGACAAAGCTCCAATGTTTATCCTCAGAGTAGCACACATTACAGAAATAGCATAACTACTGTGATCAAGACACATAACCGAAACCCAGGTTGTGAGGCTTAACGGACTGCACAACCCTGGGCTTACTTCTTACTAATCTAACCGAGGCCAGCATCCACTTGAGAAGTTTCCAAAGAAAATCCAGGCACGACAGGAAGTGGCTTTGGCAGCGCTTCAGCAGGCGACCTGCCCTCTGTGTCAGCAACAAACCAAATCCTAATGCAGTGCTAGGAAGAGCTGTGGGCAAAAGATACATCTGAGGCCCCGGCTATCTGCTGCCATTTGATGATCTAAACAAAAACAACCCATGCAGGAGCCAAATCTGCGATTGTATAAAGCTGTCTCTTTTGAAAACACATACACCTGATTCTCTAAACCCTTGCAAGCCCCTTGTATGCCCCTCTTTCTCCACATCTTCAGCCTTAGAGAAAATGATTATTGCAGGCATAATCTGGAATGTGTCCCTCTCTACAGCATTCCAGGCGCTATAAAAGGTGCTATAAGGTTCTATAAAAGGTGCTATAAGGTTCTATAAAAGGCAGTGAGTCATGAATCATTGACCCATATTAAGAGATATTTCTATATCCCCTCTCAGGCATGAAAGAAAAACCGACAGAACAATTCAGGGCTGTTAAACAGTCTTCTCCTTTGTAATAGATAGTACATGTAAACAGGACAAGGATATGAAAGAAACAGGTGGCCCCAACTTACAGTGCTTTAGGAGGAAAACAACATTAAAAATGACACTCAGTGGGGCTAGCAAGGGTTGTCTGCAGCAAGCACTTACGCTGCAAGAATGTACAGAGACCCCAGCAGGAGTTAGTGCCACCGCGCTGCCGAAGCTCCCCGGAGCTGCGCAGGGTCCTGTGCAGGCGCACGGAGCGGAGGCAGCCTCACGGCCCCAGCAGGCGGCCGTCTCGGTCTCGCATGGACAGCACGCAAGGAAAGCGCCCTTCTGCAACAGCAGGTGCAGGAAGGAAATGAGACTGCATGCAAGACTGGGCCCTGCGGTTGTGGCAGTGTTCGCAAGGCAGGCAGGTTCTGCAGCGATAAACAAAATGTGTCTGCGTAGACAGATAAATTACAAAGCTGATTGCCACCCACCGAAACTTGCAGGGATGGGATCCGGAGGAACGAGGTCTCACACTGTTTATGGCTCTTCTGTAGTACAAGGGCGAGTGTTTAGAAAAGCCACCTAGGGTCTGTCTTTCACAGTGTTGTGCTATCATACTCGGTCATGACTGAACTGAAAATACGGTTGCCTGTCCTGTAGTCATTTGTGAGACAGATTTACCTCCATTTGGCGGTTTTCTTACTTGGGTGCCCGAAGACACTCTAGGGATCACTCTCCTGTGGTGTACAGACACCACTTGAGAGATGCTGCTGTGGAGACGTGCAAGCGAGACAAGACAGCTGACTCCCAGCTCCGTGAAGGGGAAAGAAGAGGGACTGGGCTATGAAATTCACTCAAAATTCATTCCACTGCTTCACCTCAGTTACTGGTATTACCTAAATTGCAGGATCAAATAAGCTTTATTAGCTTACTTTTTCACAATGATTTTTGAAGGCATTTCTCCATATGAATGAAGATTGCTCTAAAAAGGGCTTCTTGAGGAAGACCCGCACCTTTGTAGTTAATCATCAGCAGGCTGACCCTCTGTGCCCCTCTGTGCCCCTCTGAACCCAATTTGTCCCTTTTTTGACTGGCATGTAACTGGTGAGTAGGCTTTATATCTGTCTTCTGCACAAGGGGGGGAAGTCAACCTTGAACAAAGGGTAGGTTTGGGTTTTAAGCCCGTAGCTGAACAAACAAGCATCCTTACTTAGAGTTCATTTCAGACTTTCTCTTGATGAACGAAAGAAACATTAACTAGAAAAGGAACCACAAAAGAACTGCAGGGAAGTACCTGATAACTATAAACTTGTCCCCACTGGTGAATCTGATGACCTACTGGTGCAAAACAAAACATGCTTAATTGAGTGGATGATGGTAAAAGAGTTTTACAGTAAACCAAACCCCATGTACTTGTACACTAGGGTACAGATAGATAGACAGGCAGCATTTAGACATACATTGCCAGCACTTGAACAAAGCCAAACCAGTGAATCATTTGTAGAACTGAAAAGTAAAATGAACCCAACATACTTTTTCTAGAGATTTGCTGTGAGGCTTGTACCATTGACAGCTGTGGTCCAGAGCACTTGCAGGAAGACTTTTCTTATTGTGCTGTTGTCAGCTGAGATCACTGTGTCTTGGCTACAGGGCTCAGCTATGACAGGCTCATCTTAGAAAAACTCATCCTACAGGCTCAGGCTGCTGAAAACTGTGTCTCTGAGCTAGCTACGTTAAGGGTGCTGCTCGCAATCTGCAGCAGCAGCCCCGAACCAGATGCTTGCTATTAAAAAGAGTAGGCTGATAGAAAGTGGTGAATATAAACTCTAAACATCCATCATGAGTCAAAACATGCCCTGTTTGTTCTGGGTAAAATGAAAGCATGGAGTCTTAAGTCATGCGAGGAAAATGTGCTCACTGAAAATGATGTAAGCTTTTTTTTTAATTCAGATTAAGCCAGGAAAAAAGAAAAGCCTTTTGAGTAAATGGTGCCAGAAGCTAGATGTACACCCATGACTGCAAGTAAATTTAGATTTAAAGCTAAAATTCTGCATTTATACACTGCAACATGGGACTAGCGTACGGGTATTAAATCTGAGCCCACCCTAACACAATTGCCTGAAGCAAGGTTTTCAGATGCCAGGTACAAAATTTAGAGCCTCTGGAGAAGAGGTGGAAAATGCCTTATCACATCATCCTCTGTCCTGGGTTGCTCTGGGAGTCTGAAGGACTTCAGGGCTGACTCAGCAGACCTGGACCCTGTCTGACGTACAGAGCCTCCACTGTCGATGAGCCGTACGCTGATTTGCCACTGCCAGTCTACATGCCCCTAGCTTCAGCTGTGCCTTTGGCGTCGCTGACAAGGCAGCCTCTTGCTTCAGCTTCAGCTTTCAACCAGAAGAAAATTGCTGTTGAGATAAAGTCTAAGTTAGGTGGGTGTTTCAGAGTGAGACTTTTCCCTAATATTCTAAAAAATGCTTGAGGATTTTCTGATAGATGCACTTAAATTTATGTCAGACCTATTTGACTTGACAAATCCTATTTTACTGTAAATTTACACAATGAGAAATAAATTACTTGCAAGAATTTCATTTTAGTACAAAGGGAAAGCTGTGTTATCTATTAGTCATGGTGAATCTTCAAAAAAAAAAAGTAATTTTGCATAGCTAGATCTTCTATCTGGGATATTAAAACTAGCTAAAACCATGTCTAGTTCTCAAAATAAAAAATGGTTATCTTCTCATTTGATGGTCTTTGCGGACTTGTTTTGATCCAAAGCTTCATCATTTTATTATTTTTCTTTTTTTTTTTCTGAAAGACAACACAAAACTAATGACATTCACATCAGCAGTCCATGCACAGATTTATGTCGCAAAGAATGTATGAAAATGGGTTTCACCCATCCACTCATTCATCCAAAACCTTTTTGACTGTTGAGTAAGAATTTTTAATACAAAGTCTGAGACTTCAAGGGAAGCCATCGCTCAGCCAAAACCTTTCTAACGCTTGTGGGAACCATCCGGACAGAACTGAAAGGAAGCCTTCTTTATGTTTAAGGTATATGCAAAGCTTTCACTGCCTCTGCTTTCCTTGCACTTTAACGATAATCAGCTCCCTTAAGGTCAGGAGGGCTTCTTTTCTTTAATGATGGATTTGCTTCTTCAGTTGTAACTTTTCAAAAAACGGTGCAGCAGCACATTTGACCTATGTGAAGATCTGTGTAAGTCTGGTACTTCTTTAAAAACAGGAACATGAGCAGGAAGAGAAATGTTCTCAAAATCTTGCCATTGCTAACCTTACTCCAAATGGGTGAGACAGGGAAGACAAAAAGTACAGTTTCTGTGCTGTACAAAAGACACTGTTACTCATCTTTGCTAAATTTGCACTTTGCCTCTCTCATGGTCACAGCTGCTTGCTCTCAGCATGGGTTGGTGGATGCCACGTGCACCATCGCATAGTAATAACAAGAAATAAGATACTAGGGGAAAATTATTCAAAATCAGTTTGCAAATGAGGTGGTGAATGTAGAGGGTGACTTGGAGGTGGGGGGTTCACAGGAAAAGCCCAATTCTTTTTATCTCCTCAGAGCTGTGAAAGATTCAAGTGCCAAAGTCCTGGGGGTGTTGAAGGGACTTTCCCAGTAGTAGCACAGAAATTCCACATCCTTTGCTTCCTCTCTCAGCAACTGCATCCTCCCTCCATCTGTAATCCCCCAGAGCTCCCACCCCCAAAACTTTTTTGCATGATTCTTGCCCCCTGTAAGGAATGAGAGTTGTCACCTACTCCCACACAGCTGGAACGACACCCCAAGGAACCATCCAGCACAGCACCGTTCTTGCCACCTTTTTGTCCTTTTCCCCTCCACAGAGGAAAACTAGGCAGTACCTGTGTTTAACCAAAGGGTTTGAATTTGTCTAATCAAATCTCTTGCAACCAGAGGAGTCACAACCCTGAATTGTTTAATAAGGCTAAGAAATAATTATTGGCTAATGGCCTAATACAGCATAAAATACACCCATTGACTGCTGGCTTACAAAATATCCTGGTGCCAGCATATGCTGAGGCAGAACACAGTTGTCAGAGGGTTTAATTTCTTTCCTTCGTCTACAGAAAGAGTAATTAGGACCAGCCCTAACCAGGATGATATACTGACCTGCCCAGCATTCTTTCTATGTGCTAAAGAGACCCTTGGTAAGTCTCTCCTAATAATATTCCAGGCAACATGCTTCAAACTACACGTACAGAGTACAGAGGCTGTTGTTGCTGACAAAGGAACACACGAAAGACATTCCCTGTCATGTGAAAAACATTGTGCAGTAATATAATTTTGAAACAGATATTGCTAACTGATGTTAACACATCCACGCAGGTAGACATGAAGGCCGCATATCCTTTCTCTGCTTTAATCAAACATTCCTGTCAACAAAATACAGGTGAAACAATCACCCCGGATTGTTTGATGAAAATATTACATTCTCATAAAACATACAATCCCTCTCTTAAATATTCTTGAAGCAGTATTTTCATGAGAGAGGTGGTCTGGATTACATTTATTTAAAACTGTTCAAGACAAAGGAATAACACAAGCTCATCACAGGGTCTGTTCTAGGTCCAGCGTGGTCTCCTCAGCATTTTTAGGAGAGATCCTCATTCTTCCCAGGCACCAAGGGTAGACGAAGACCCAACTTGTCTGTCAGCACCCTGAAGGAAGGGGTGGATCTTGCTGGGCTCTGTGTTCTCCCAAATATCATTGGTTCAGCGAGCCAGGAATAGTCTTCAAGTTCTTCCTGGGCTGATCTTAAATTGGACCAAGTTGTCTGCTTCTCAGGGGAAGTTGAGTTAATCACTAACTCCCAGAGGATCTGGGGACCCTACAGGAGGCAGGCAGAGCAGACAAAACCACACAGCATTCAGCTGAGCCTGCCTTAGAGTCTGCAAGCAGAAAAATTGATCCCTGGCTCACTGGCTCACTAGTACTAAAGATGAATCTCCCGCTGAATACTCTCCCACTCATAATGCCAGTCTTACGTTTTATCCTCAATGTGTGAAGTTTGCTTTTGAAAGCTTATTTTACAGTTCAATGTGTTTTTAGCAAGACTATTTGTAGTTACAATTTAGAGATGGCATTTTCTTTCATTCTGATTAATCTGTTAAATAAATATGCTCTATATAGTGCTCTCTATAAAAATACATACACTCAACAAACAACCCCTCAAATAATAAAACCAAGATTAATAAAAATATGTACTATATTACACATATGAAATGGCCATCTGGTTTTGAAACTATAATGAAACTTAATTACACATGAATCACATGGCATAACCTAAAAAGAATCAGCATATATAAAATAATGGCACTGCCTCTGTAAAGAGAACTTGAGTATCTCCCTATTTAAAAATACAAAAAGAAGTCAACCAGTGTCATCTGTGCATTTATAGCTATTGAACATTAGATAAATTAGGAAGGAGTTTGAGGATTTCTCCATTAAACATCTGAGCAGGGAGATGAATGACATGCCACAGCCTTTTTCTTCTTTTTAAAGAAAAAGTTAGCTTTCAAGACAATGAAATACCTCCTTTTGATTGAGACCTATAGTCAATTAGGATTTAAACCAAGGAATAATTCTTAGTCTGGATCTCCATACTTTGTGAAATGAGTACATAACACCAATTTAAAAACAGCCTTCAACAAATCATTTTGATTTATAATGACAAATAGAAAAGCTTGCTTTAAGACATTATAGGAATTAAGCAAAAACCAATGCACAAAGTCACCAGACTTCCCACTACACGTTTCAGCATTAAAATACATTAAAGGACTGAGAAATTTGACAGTGGACCACAAGCACCTTGACCTCATTAGCTTCAGCTTGTTTGAACACCTTTGGACCGTGAGCCGTGTGCCTGTTCATAGATGAAACATGCTGACCTACATGAAGTCAGAAAACATCCTATGGGTACTTCAAAATCACACCTCGTCTTGGGACCTTTTGCCCAGGTGTAAGTTGTCCCTGAGGAGATATGCCTGCCAATACCAAGGCACTGAGCAGCTCAATGAAACATGTGGGAAACTGCTGGAGGGCTGTGACTGAGAAATATAATCAACAGTCTCGTGCTTTGTGTTCCAGTAAAGATCAGTGCTAGCTGATGTTAGTATTTAGCCAGCTTGAGTACTCGTCCATCAAAATGCTTCAGATGGAGAACAAAAAATAACATGCTTTAGCAGAACAGTTTCAAAGACAGGTCACTGAACAGGAACACTTGAATAAACCTGCTACAGGACATTCCCCATGCCTCAACCGACAAAGACCATGGGTTGCAATTACCTTAGGTTGCTTTTACTTCCATTTTTCGAGGCAGACCAATTAGAAGTTGTAATTCTCCCTCCATTCCAATACACTTTCTCAAAAATGGCACAGACCGTTGGTAGTAAATAATTTTCTTTTTGACAATTCATATCAATATAATGCACAGCATCATAGTTTACTGCAAATACTTTACATAACAGACACATAAGGGCAACACAAAAGCATACAACAATGCAGCTGTAGCTACTTTACTATGTTACATGGCTGGGAGAGTTTCCTTTAATTTTCTTCGATCTTTTTCTGTAGAATTTGAACTTCTGGTACCAATAAGCAAGCAATGTTTCTTCAGGTATTTTTAAAAAGCAGAGGGAAAAATGTGAATGAAATAGAAGTCAGAGGAAGTGAGCAAAATCATAGAAAGAGAACTTCTAAAATATCAGCAAACCATTGTAACATAATAGTTACAGGGGAAACAAGTTCTACGAGGCTCAGCATCTCCCAAGTAAAATGGAGCAGAAGAAGATAGAGACCTATTCTTCAGGAATAAAATACTGTTACCTTCCCTAATGATCTCCAATGTCTTGATCTGTGCATGTGTGATAGAGCTGGGGTCAGTCTGTTTTATTAATTATCCTAACAGACTCATTAAAAATATGCACAAACTGCGATCAATGAAGGAAGGAGGGGGAAGAGCAATGAGCACCTCAAAAACTCAAGGATAACTGTACAGATTGTTAGGATAATAAAGTACAGAAGTTTATAATGTATCAGCTCATGCTTTCATCTCTTTATTCCCCCTCCCAAGAAGATTTTCTGTATGCCCATAGACATTTAAAAATAGAGATAAATAAATTCTGTCATTCTGGGTTTCCCTCATTGCAGACCAAGCCATAAATCACTGTAAAATGTCACTTTTTGTTTATACTGGCAGTTTCTGAATGCTGCTGCTGCTCTTCCTGGCCGGAAGGCATTTCTGAAGGATTCAGATGTTTTATACATTTTATAGGCGGCCTTTTTTGTTTAAACTTGATTTTTGCTCTTGACATTTCTTCCTCACTTACTCTTGTACCATGGCAAGTTTAGTACCTTAAATACCTGTAAGATGGAGTGACTGGATAATTCTGTAGCTCCACACAGTGAAGACCCTCCAGCTGAGGAACAGGGATGTAAACTTGTATCCCTCCTAACACCCAGGACACACTGAGCATCCTCTGTGTAGGAACTGGGAACTGAAAACATTATGCAACCCTTGGGGGCTTATTTCAGAAAGGAAATGTCAATTTTGTAACTCAGACATCATTTTAAAGTGATTAAAAATGAATAAAACTTATGTTTAATTATGTTCAAAAGACATCAGTAGCACAGTGCATCTGTGAATTCCTGCCCAAGTTCCATGTGATTTTGATTTCCCCAGCTCTGATCTATTTGGCAACTTGGTATCATTACACTCCACTCTTCATGTCAGGCTCCTGATGATTTTGTGTTTCATTAATGGTCAGGAATTCATCACATGCTCCTGTTCGGTCATTTGACTGTTCTTTGTGAACCAAGTGCACCATTTCTTGTGATTTGCTGGCATCTCCATTTAATCCACTTGTCTTCCTGTCCTCCACTGCCCCTTTGCCGTTGTTAATCACTAGCTTTTTCTTCTGCCCACATCTAGAAAGAAATAAAAAGTAAGTAATAGAGACTAATAGAAATAAGAAAAAAATTGGAAGTCAATACTTAGGAAAAGGTTCTTGGAAATGAAACTTTTTGAAAGCATCCACCATTACATGCATAAAATTGGGCAGAAGCTCACTTATTTGATTTGTGTTTATCGTTACTACAGATAGGAATAGCATTCATTACTGAAAACTAGAAAAGATTTTATAACATTTGGATATATCCACATTTATGAACTTTGTATATATCCCACTATAAGGACAGGGTCATTCTAAATCCAGACTTGGGACCGCACCTTTGAAAATGCTCAAGTTCTTGAGATAGCAGAAAATTTGGATCAAGCTCTCACCTTATTATACAAGATAACTTTTTCCTTCTTTGGATGTCAGGCCTAGAAGCTCTCCAACAGTAAGGAAATGTGGAGAAGTACTCTTGCTGCTATCAACAGCATAGCTCCTTATGATATTAAGGTAGGAAATAGCTACTGTAAAGTTACATTCACTGCAGTGCTGCCCAATAAGCTCTATATGGAGCTCTGAATGAACACACACACACACACACACACACTCTTTTAAAAAGTCACCAGTCCAAAACTGATGCATGCTGGTCAACATGGGCTGGGTATTCTTCAGGGTAGTAAAAAAGTATGAGTTACACAGCTGTCAGATTTGCCCCAGACTGTTAAGATGGTTCTCTGGCTACACAGTGCTGAACATCCTACTCTTCCTTGAACAGCCTTGTATACACTGAATATACAAAAGCACAGTTCTCTTAAGAGGGCTCTTAAGAGTACAACTCTTAAAGTTGTACTTTAAAGTGCTTTCTTCTTAAATGAAGCATATTTTGACTGAATTAATAATTTGGCAGTTCAATTATACTATTATCCTTCTGAAATATTATTTTTTTCATGCTTACTGATCAATAGATGAGGGTTATTTTATCTAAAGTAGCTCCTTTCACTGTGCTAATGTTACACACACTCTTGGGAATGATTCCTACTCTGCAGCCATGAAATGCCAAAAGAGGCCCGTGAGGAGCTGTGGAGCTCCACAGCCTCTCGAAAGAGCAGCTCAGCATGTCTTCCCTGACATGATGGTCAGGCTGGGCAGCATCTTCTGTTGGACCCTGGAAGGAGAGCCTAACACTCTTTACAGCTGGCACCAGACAGAGGCAGTCTTCTTTGCACAAAGAGAAATAAATAACTAACTAAATAGGACCACACTGGGGAAAAAAAAAAAAAAAAGGAAACACTATAGCCAAGCAATTTGCTATTTACTGAGAAGGCCCAATTGCTTGTTTGAAATGCTTGTAATCTCTGGCCTCCCAACTACAAAGGCTAAATCTACTGGTTTCTGAATCAGGAAGTTAACTACCTTGTAACTAAGGCCGACATTCCGTTAAGCTTTTTCGGACAACCCAAATGAGACTGAAAGTGGAAATACTGCAGTTAGCATCAATTTTAAGAATGGTGTAACTGACAGCATCACACAAATAAAAACACAGGTTGTTCTCACTTTTTAAATAAATTAATGCTTGAAACATTCTCAGCTTACTGCTCAGCATCACTGAAATGTTCAATCCTCCTTTCTCAGCTATCCAGTTTTCTCATAGCCCTGCTGCAGTGTTAGTTTTGTGTTATTTGCATTTGCGTGCAGGATGCTGACTGCACAGCAACTACCTCTCTATGAATTTTCATCATATTAGCGCTTATCAGAACAGATGAAGAAAGGATTCTTGACTTTCTCATGTTATCATTTGGCTCCTGCTAAAGTGAAAGAAAAAAATTCCCCTTGTTTCAAGCATACCAGAGTACATCCCCGCTTCAAAAAGTTTTCCTCGCAGCAATTAACACATATTGCTAGGGTCTAATCCATGCATTCGTACACATACATGCACCCACGTGCACCTTCTCTCTTTGCAACTCGCTCCCAGCTGCATGGAAGCTCTCGGTAAAAGGTATGGTTTCCGTTAATGTTATCTAGGGCATAATTTACAGCTCTGAGACTGTTTCATTTCTTGTCAGATGCAATCTGAAGTTAGCCTTAGAGGCCCTGTTTGTCTGTTCCTATGGTGAGGGAGGAAACAATGGCAGTCTCTACTTTTAAAGGCATAACAGAGTAACATATAAATCATTAAGGCACGCTATTCAGGCTGTGTAACTCCAGAATCACTTTACAGAAAGTTGCGGAGTTTTCTGTCTCACCATACGCTTGATAGCTTTCATACTTCAACAGGCCTCTGATAATGCTGTCAGAGTACTGATATTGTGGATACAGTCATAGGGCAAACATACGAGGTGGCATCTCACTACTGACTTCAGCAAAACTGTATCAGTTTACCCTGCCTGACAATTTGGCATTTAGTTTGCACCGTTTTGCCTCAAAGAAGCCTTCCACATCATGGGCAGGGACTGCCTGGGATGCTCCCTCACTGCAGTGGCAGTGCTTTATTCTAGCACCCATACCATGATTTGGAGGACCTTAACTCTATTTCATGGAAGCATTACCACGTGCTTTCCCGCAACTAGCAGACTAGGAATAAATTTGCTCACTGCTTCCTGAATAAAAATCTCCACGTATTATATGATTACTCTGATAAAAAAAGTTCAAATCCAACATTCAAGCAGAAAAAAGTTACGCTGTTAAAGGGTTCAACTTTAACATTCAAGTAGCAAAAAGCTGTTTAAGACAACTGAGAAGTAACTCAGAATAGCCCCCAGAGAAAAGAAAGAGTTAAGAACATTGCAGCCTATCCTTTAGGCTGTTCCTGGATAACTGCACAGATCACGTCAACTTTCTATTCCTCGGTTTCTTCTTCTGTAAAGTGGAGTAAATAAAGCTATTGAGTGCTCTGATAACAATGTCAGAATATATCCCTCTGACTGCCAGCTGTGGTACTGCCTTTTGCTCGGAAGGAACAAATTAATCCAGTGACAGCAGTTGTCTTGTACAGCCCTTCACGCTGTATACAGACAACACTGTTAATGGTGGAGGATTATCCTCAGCTCATCCTGTGGTTGCTACTGTCTATGTCCATCTCACATAGTTTTCACTCTCAGTGGACAGGGTTTTACTATTAAAAAGTAATAGGTAGAATATTTAATTCTCTAAATAGGCAGAATAATTAATTCTCTGTGATTCATATGCAGTTAGTTTCCATCTACAAGTAAAGACAATATGGTTTGTACAGCTCCTGACTTCACGTGGTTCCACATGACATGAGGGCTGATGTGCGACCTGTGCAAGACAGGGTGACCTGGCCCCTCACACCTTCGCAGACCTTCGCAGAGGAAGCTCTTCCCTGTGTTATGCTACTCTGCTCTTTCACGAAGCCTCTCAATGAAGAAAATAGCAAGGCACTATGTTTTGAAGAAGTCAAGGGGCTACCTTACCTTCTCCGGCTGTTAACAGCAATGCACACTGCAAGGATCAATGCCAGTGCCACAAGAGCAGCAACTATGATCAGCCATTCTGTGGGGAGAGTTGAGGCAGGGGAGGAGAGCATGTTAACGTTATCTCATGTAGTTTTGCCGTTTCACTGAACTACAAGAACACAAGCTATTTTACATTCTTTAAACTGTCAAGACTTTTTTCCTAGCTTGCATGAGTATTTGTTTGTTTGATGAAGTGCTTCTGTGCAGATCGAATAAATTTTCCTTGTTCAGCTATACACAGGCCAACTCAGATGAAAAACCCCATCGCTGTTAGCACCCATAAGCACTGTACTTTGGTGGGCACAGGTGAAGAGGAGCTGTACCACTGATTTACTCTGAGAGGAAAAGAAAAGGCTTAGCAATGATACAATCCCAAGCATAAAAGCAGAATGACTTTCAGGTAGAGTGAAATGTTCATTTTCTCATTTAAAATCTTACTTTAAGGGGTATTTGGGAGTTAAACTCTAAAAAGCTGCAAGGGACCCTAAGAGGTCATATCAGATACAATTCACTCCAATGGGACAGGACCAGTAAGAAGATGGCTGAGGAATTTGCTCTTAACAATTTTAGTAAAGGAGATTCCACAACCTTCCCAGTAGCCTATTCTTTATGCAGTACTACCATTACAGACAGAGATCCTCTCCTAAGAGCTGACTCCTTTATTTTGGTTGAAACAAGTCACCCTGGTTTAACAAGTCTCCTACATTCCATTTGAAACAAATTACTTCTTCTAATTATTTAATTATTACTCCATGGTGAAAAACTGGTAAGCATTCTTTTTGTAGCATACTCTTCTCATATCTCCCTTCAGTTTTCTCTCAAAATGATGAGTTCTTCAAAAGGTGCTTCAAAGGCTACCTTTCCAAAGATTTTCTTTGTCTTTTTCTCTGATTTTTTTTTTTTTTTCTATGTGATTAATGCAATGCCTTGAACTGAACACAGAGCTTCAGCTCCAGACTTGCTAGGCGTAGGTAGGGTGGGATAATTACTTTCTCTGTTTTAAAAACAACTTATCTGTTAGTATGTCCCAGAATATATTTGCATTCTTTTGCAATTGTATCATGGTGTTGGCTTCTTTCTATTCCATTTTAATCTACAAGCCCTATTCTGCAACACTTGTCTCAGCTATTATTTTCCATTATAGTCTCATGAGTTTGATATTTTGCATATATCTTTACTGAATTTTGCTTGATTTCATATCAATTTATAAAGATCATTTGGATCTTAATCCTATTCTTCAAATGCATGATTTCTTTCATCTTGATATTGCTGGAAATTTGTGAGGGGTACAATATGCCCCATTTTTCAGACTACCAGTGAAAATGCTCAATATTATCTGATTCAGAAAAAAGCCTGAAAAACTGTACTTGACCTACATTTTCATCTCTTATTCATACAATTCTGTGCTTAAACTGCCAAAGCATATGACTTCAAAAACCTACCTGGTACCTGGGCCGACCTTGGCTGTGGAGTTACGTTTGTCATTGTGGTCTCTCCAGGGAAAGCAGTGGATTCATAATGTCCTTTGTGTGGTCCTTGGTTATCATATATACTGGAGGTAGATCCTAAAGAATAAAACTATCCGTTAGGCCAAATATGCTTAGTGAATTTTTAACAGTGAAGTGTAAAGACTATGACATTCAGAATTTAAAAAACATATTCCAGAAAGTTCATGCTGAGGTCATTAAAAAGTATTTATACTGAAAACTATTACATAGACTATAATCATCATACTCATTTGAACTACATTTTTAGTATTTCGGATAACAAAACTCATGGGTTTCCCCTCTTGTCTCTCTCATCTGTTTCTGCTTTGATTATGCTGTACTTTCATGAATCAAAACGCAATTATAATTGCCTAGGTATTTTCTGGAGAAAATGCAAAGACATGGGAATGTTGGCAACTTTTTTAGAAGGTTTTTGTCACATAAGTGAAACATGTTGTCTGTTCCATGGGGAGAAGACAGTGAGAAAAGAGGAGAGAGAAAGAGACAGAGGAAAAAAACAAAAAACTTTTTTATTTAAACTTAAAATTACCAATATGGTGAAATTTTGAAACTTTTAATTTTATTCCTACACGGGATAAAACTGAAATTCTAAAACTCTAATGCTTTCATAAAGTGGAAGGATAGTTCTTTGAATACATTTAAATTTGATAGCTATATGTAGAGTGGGACTTTAAAAATTCAAAATATTTTTTCCAATACAAAAAAAAATGCTCTTTGTAAACTTAGAGGTGGATCTCCTTGTCCTTTTTAATAAGTATTAGATCTTAAATCAAAATGTATACTTCCAGTCTCAAGTATCTGCTATGCTGGCCATACTGCTTGAACTTTTATGCAATTACGTTTCTGGCTCAGGCTGTTGCCACATGGGTATCCCAAGTGTAAAACTATCAGCAGACTATAGATGTAGTGATTTCATTTGGGACTACTACTTCATTATCACTCAAAAAAGATATTACAGATCTCCACCTCTCTGAATTCTTCCAGGCCCTAGTAGAGCAAATTAAGCACTTACTGTAATCAGCTGTAAAGTTCTTTAGCACACATTGCAACCCATTCCTAGCCAGCATTTCTGATCTCATTTCCTAATAGCAGCTGGCAAATACAAAACTGAGAAACATTTTTTTTCCCCTCTGTCCCTCTGCCAGCAAGTAGTTCATAAATCTTCCAGATGTTTTCTTTATTTTTTTTAACAAGAAACTTATTGACTGATGAGTTGTTTTGCACTATCTCACCACAAAGGACACAGCGCTAATTCAGCAGCTAAGGGTCCTGTTCTAGCCTCCAAGACAGCTGGCCAAGAGGAACATACTCACTTATCTACCCCACATTTCAGCAGATTTTTTTAGGGTGCTTTATATCATCCCTGAGAAATGCCAGAGCTTTTCCACTGCAAAGCCACTTAGAAAGGCACACAGACATTTATTAAAAATTGTGTGCTTAGAGAATGGCTGTATTTGCCCTTCCCCTCCCCTGAGCACTGAGCAGAAGCAGGATTCAGTCATGTCCCCTGCTGTTCTGGCTCTGGGGAGGTGCTTGCAAGTGGCAGGGAGGGATCCTCAAAAGCTCTCTGCATTTCATTTTGATGACATACTATTTTTTTTATTTCTTTTTGACAGTTATTCTTTGGGCTCCTTCAGAGGACTGATTTATTATTCCATGGACACTTGGACAACAGATCAGTCATTGGTGTGATGTCAGACCACAGCTTAAACATTGCTGTAGAGAAAAAGCAAATGAAAGAAAGTAGTATAGTACCTCAAGCCATTCATCCATTCAGGGAAAACCTTTAACCACAGTCTGCCAATACCTTCATGAATCTTTTCCATTCAATTACAGCTATGTGGGGTAATGTTACAAATGAATGAACCCTTCAATAAATAAACATTTTAATGATGATGTTAGTGTCCTAGTAATTCCATTGTATTGTATTTTTAAGAAGCACCAAGAGAAGATAAATAAAAAAAAGGAAGAGCTTTGGGAATATGGCCTCAGGAGCCTTTGCCAGGGCACTGACAATGCAAAGGTTCAACACAGACATTCACCTTAAAAATGATCTTCAAACTGGTTCTTACAGGTTTTATGTGCTCAAAACAGCAAACATTTTTTCATAGTGTGTAATGTCTGCACATAAAATTAAGGAGGCAGCTTGGATTAATTAAGTGAATAGGGCAGCGAAAGTCAGGAAATGAGTTTGTTGTAGTAGGAAACCATTATGAAAGAGAGTTATCTTTCCAATAAAATTCTATGAAATTTTGCATTTATTTTGCTGTGCCTATGCCAAAATACTATAACTCAGGCAATTTTGATAGTGTTGATTTTACTGGGATTATATAGAAATCCCCCCCCCCCAAAAGTAAGCCAAATTCTACCTGACAATGTATGAATTATCATTAATTAATTAATTAATAACAGGATTATCATTAAAGTGTTTGCTGTATAATGCTATAAAAACACAGGGACATAATCTTACTTATGTGCAAAGAATGTCCACAGAGCATTGGCCAAAATCCACCCTGGGATGGTTCCACTAATTTCCCCAAAAGTGCATGAGAATAATATCTGGGTTAGCGTGCATGAGAAGTAGTATTTCGAAAAAAACCTTACTGTTAGGATAATTATTTGTATGGATACCGCATTTGGGAATAAGGAAAAGGCCCTTCATTTCTCGTGCTATTAGTGTGTGAACACATATAAAAAAAAGAAAGGCTTTATGTAGTGTAATATGTAAACACCGTTACTGTTAACTGCACTACCTCTATCAGAATAACCCTTTTTAAAAAAAAAAAAAAAAGTTGTTCACAAATGAAATGTCAGTTACATCAGCAAATACACCTTGAAAAAAAGGTTTCACAGAGAATGACCTTTCTTTTGATACATATTCAACTAATGTACAGGAAACGGATGGGGGGAAAAGTGACAGACAGTTAAGTGTTAACATAGGTATCATTTGTGCCCAGCAAGAGAGACAAAATCCTATCAATCACACATGTATGCACATGAGGAGAAAGTTTAAACTTGTTCACTTCAATAGTTGTGTTACCACGTACAGGTAACAGAATATAAGAAAAGGTTATTTGCAACACCTTATTTTCAGCCTTTTAGCAAATGCCCTCTGCTTTGCACAGGAAGAGATTCCCTTTATCGACATCTTATAACAACATCTTATAATGACAGGTTATAAACAATAAAAAAACCAAGAAGGAAATCATAATATGAAAATAATTTACAACTATGGTTAGTACACATGGTTTTGGACGACTGCCATTGTCCAAACCAATAACTGACTGATGGATAAATGAAAATACTCGTAATCTGTAATCTTACTGGTAGGAAGAGGGGTCTGCAATTGGTTAACATGATCTTCAATGTCTGGAAAAACACCAGGTATCCAATTGACATGGGAACCATCTGTGGTGCTTGCTTGTTCATTTTCACTTCCAGATGGAGTGCGAGGTGCCAGTGGTTCCTTGGTTGCTTTTTCTCGGTTAACATCATCCATGGACTCTGTGACTGTCATGACGATGGCATGATCAGCTTTAAAAGTGAGCACTCACAAAACCACCACCCGCATTATTTCCCTCTTTCCTGTACCACAGCAAGCCAGGAAGCACGCCCATCTTCCTCATTCAAAGCACAGAAGGAGAGAAGACATGAAGGCCCCCCCTTCTTCTTCCACACGATCACTGGCTTCTGAGAGACCCTTCAGCACCACATATATGCTCGCCATTTTGGAGGGAGACATTGGCTACATATACAGATCCCAGTGACAGATGGAGAGGGAAGACCTTCAGAAGAAGAGACCATGGCAGCAACATGGGATGCAATTCTTCTATGACTACCCTGCCTTCACCACAGGGACAGCATTCCCTGGTGACGGTGCTGCTGCTGAGTCACAGGAGCAAGCCATCTGATTAACGCACCAGAGCACCTCCACCACACCAATCATGGTGCCAAAGCGTATCAAGCCTGATTCCACTGGTGTGCAAGAAAGGAACATGGGGCTGGGGATTCAGAATCACCAAAGAGCATGTCTTGCAGAACAGTCAGGAGGCCACCCAGAAACATGCTTCAGCAAGGGACAGAAACCACCAAGCAAGGAGTCTCTTATGCCTTGTCCAGAAGGTAATTCTGTCAACAGCACAGATCCCACCACAGATTTTTGCACTGCAAGTCCACACCAAGAATGTAGATCCCCAGGATGAGAAAGAGAGAGAAAGGAGTAAATTTCAGAAGAAATAATGTCTCATTTTGCACCAGGCATGAGAAATGAGGACGATCCATTATTCTTACTGGTACCTGTCAGAAGAGAGTCATCACTAGCTTTGTTCGTACTAGCTGTGGTCCTGTGCAGGACCTCAGCCCCAGGGGCATCTGTGGGATGCGTGATGCCTTCAGTGCTCTGTCCTGGTTCATACTCTGAAGGCAGAGGTGGCTGAGTTGGGTCTTTGTGGTGGGCACCGTCAGGAGAGGTAACAGCTGTCACTACGATGCGAGGTGCCCATGCTTCCTGGGTTATATCTTCTGGTTTCAGAACATCAGTGGAGGCTGTGACTGTTGTGATGATGGCTGAGTTACCTTCAAAGACATTTACAAACCCCCACCTTACATATTTTTTCTGTCTTTATTTTATTTAACAAGCTCTACCTTTTCCTTTTTTAGCCTATGTAGAATATGCAGTGAGAAAAAACCCCACAAGCAAACAAGATCTTCTTGTCATGTTATTTTTGGTTTGTCTGTTCCTTTGCTAATATTCTATTGATCACTTTAACAGTTGCTTATTCATTTCCTCAATTTCAGGGTGGATTAAAGCATGTAAAGACTTTCCAAAGAGCAGCCACTTAGACCTGATTTGAGATTGACATCATGCTAAAAAATGTCAGTTTAAGTTTATTTAGGCATCTCTCTTTTTCCATGAGATGATCATAAGAATGTGTGCTGTTCTCCCAAAATAAAATAAAATTAATTCAAATGGAAAAATTAAGGAATTAAATTATTTCATGAACATCCTTCACACATCATTCTGGCAGTGTTAAGACTGCTGCTGATGCAAAAGAGTAAGGATGTCACAAAAACATATTAAGAAATAGTTATAGCTTAACTAAATGCGCTTTCAGAATTTCCAAGTGCTCCAAAAAATTAATTAAATAATAAATGTTACTATTAATTCAAAATTACACCATTGAAGGTTAGTATCACTAAGCAAAATGACAAACCAAAAGATGCATTTCCAGACAATAGCCTAATGTGTTAGCTTTGAAAATACCTAGTAATCACTACTTAGAAGGGAGAAAAAAAAATAACGTTATTTTCAGAATAAAATGAGTATAAAAAGCCCTGTCATTACATAGCAATAATATCAGCATGACTCGATTGAAAACATTTGAATAAATTGCAAAATCGTACTTAGGGTTTCAAATTTGCAATTGATCTCTCAAACCACATAAAGCTGAACAGGCTGATGACAACGAACTGTGAAGTTTTACAGGGATGTATTCTGTATTTAAAGAAACAGGAGTAGGGAGTAGAGAAAAGAATTGTATTTTAATCCACAAAATCTTTGGTTTTAATAGCTCTTTGGAAAATCCAAAGTGTTGCTGATTAAATAATCATGATGGAAATGCATTTTGAAGAAAGCATAAATGCTAATTTTTCCTTAGAATTTTTTTTTTTTTAAATGCAAGAAAGATGCAAAGAGCTCTAAAGCACTATGATGTCATGAAAATCTATTATTAAACAATAAAAATATTAGAATAAAAAAACAATATTTTGATTGGGAATAATTTTAACTGGATAACATGCAGAGCTTAGGAATCGAAGTTAGAACCTTGCAGAACTACACGAACAAACTGCAGCAAGTTCTTTCAAAGTTTACAGTATTAAGAGGATCTGTGGCAACGCCAAGACGAAGAACAATCAATCAGAAATGAAAACCTGTTTTTAAGTCCATGATTCATTTACACCACTGGCCAACCCCCACAACGCAATTGCTTTCTCAGTATCACTTTCTATTAAAAATAAACCCGAGAAAAGCTGGGGGACACAAGATAAAGGCAATCCAGGGAAGAAATATCCTTAACAGATAGCAATTCTTGTTGGGATGTTCACATGCAAGAAGAATCATAAGAATATTTGCACTGCAAGTCCACACCAAGAATGTAGATCCCCAGGATGAGAAAGAGAGAGAAAGGAGTAAATTTCAGAAGAAATAATGTCTCATTTCACACAAGGCATGAGAAATGAGGACGATCCATTATTCTTACTGGTACCTGTCAGAGGAGAGCCATCACTAGCTTTGTTCGTACTAGCTGTGGTCCTGTGCAGGACCTCAGCCCCAGGGGCGTCTGTGGGATGCGTGATGCCTTCGGTGCTCTGTCCTGGTTCATACTCTGAAGGCAGAGGTGGCTGAGTTGGGTCTTTGTGGTGGGCACCGTCAGGAGAGGTAACAGCTGCTACCACAAGGATTTAATCAGCTGTGAATTCCATGTGCGTGCTGCCGTGCCCCTCCCATTCCCACTACATTCAAGTCTCCTGTTCACTTTAAACCACTGCTACCCTTTTCTCACCAGAAAGGGGAAGAGAAGGGAGACCTTGTGTCCTCCCATACGTCATCACTGCTCTCTCAATGTATTGATCAGACATTTTATTTTGCTATTCCCATCCACTTTTTTACTTAATCCAAAAGATTACCAAGGACAGTGGATACAGGAAAGGACATAGAGATAGCAGTCAGGAGAATTCCACAACCTGCATTCCAGACTGACCACAGATACTCAGCTTCAGGGACACTGTCAAGTGCTGCTACTGTGTGTTTTACATTACAGATATCAGTACTGACAGTAAAGAACCCTTTCTACAGGCGCTGAATTAAAGTTACCTTTCTTTTTATTTCAGGAGTAAGTCATGTGTTTCTCATATGTTTCTAGAACATTATTTTGATGGTATAAATAGTAAGTGTTATACAAGATTGCTTCATGCCAGTTTTGTAAATTCCTTTCTCTCATTCTACGAACCAGAGGGACAAATGTTTTGATAAAATCTATGGAAAGAACATGCTTTCCCAAAGGAATATTCACAAATTAAAAGCACTAGCTGTGGGTGTACAAATGTACATAAGCATGAATTCAACTTTATGGCAAAGACAGTTTGGCAACACCAAATAATATAACATATGTAACGAGCCAGATGCAGTAATGCTTCACTAAGTAACAGCATTAAAAGTCGTTGGTAAGTGAAAAATAAAAGTTTTTACAGAGCTAAAATTGAAAACTTCTATCTCAGCAGCATCCAGGCAGAGCACAGAGAAGATTAGTCACTCTATAATTTATATCACAATCTTAAAGAGATCAGTAAGTTACTCCTATCTATGAGTTCATGCAATATCTTTCCAAGATAGGCCATATGAGAGACAGAAGTGATGAAATATATACAATGAACATTATTGCTAGTACCTGTAGTGGAAGACTCTTTTTCATTATTATTCTCTCTGGAAGGAATAATTCTATCCATTATAGCAGGTTGTGTGGCATAATCCTCTCCCTTGTCCCAGCCTGGATACGCCAATGGGTCTTGCGCTGAGTCATTCTGTTTGGCCCCATGGTTGGAGGCCATAGCTGTTATTATGATGGTGAAGCAATTATGAACTCAGTATATAAAGATCCATTTCTCATATTATTGTCCTCTTCAGTTCTTGTCTCTATGACAGGCCTTGCTCACATGTCTACTACATTTAATGGCAAAGAGAAGTAAAGCAGATTTGCTTCTCATTCTGGTTTATGTTTAGAAAAGCTGCCTAGTCTCACAAATAGGACTGACTCCTTCCTCAAACTGAGCATACACTTTTCAGAACCAAGCTATCTCGTTGTTTTTCAAAAGTATTTCCCCGAATCATGCTGTTGACTTTTATTGGTTGAATATCAAACCAATATCCACCAATACAGAATTAAGAACAGCAAAGGCAGAAAAAAATGCAAGAATATGACCCATCAGTAAGATTTTAATCACAGAATTTGAGTGTATTGTCTATACCCAGTTTTTTCCTCAAAATGTCACTGTTTATTAGTTGCAGCATCTCCAGGAAAATAGACAAGGAAGTCTGACAAAGAGGAAGGCTAGCACAGGCTGCAGATTTGTGAACGGTGCACACAATAAGTAAGACAGCACTCAACTGGAGAATATTTGATATTGCAGTTATTTACAAAAATATTGTATTGTCCATATCAACCAATCTGTAGCTTTTATTAAGACAGTCACAGCAAAAGAGTACCCAAATCTTACAAGTAGCATAACCCTCCTTAAACCCTCCCCAACCCAATTAAAAAAAAACCCAAGAAAATTGGGTTAACATGCCACAGCATGTTAAAATTTAAATTGGAACTAGGCCAAATTATATTGCTATAGTAGTATAGTATAGTATAATTTAGTGTATACATATCGGTAATGCATTGTACTGCATCACCAGGTTTTTAAAGGATGTTGATGAAACACCTGGGATTGATCTCTTAGAAGAATGTGGGCTTAGGGACTGCTGAAACAATGACCCCCACAAAACTTTTTCTAATAAGATTACATTTAGTTGAAGGAATAGATCCACATTATACAGCCTATCAAGTAATGTTTATGATATGCTTGTCTTCAGTGGCCTGTATTTGATAATCTGCAAGAGCAGATGATGACTGTGTTAAATTCACTGCTGACAGTGCTTAGTACAGCAAATTTGTCATTAACTAGTAAACTTAGTACACTCAGAGGAACAGAAACTAATATATGCCAATTTTTAGCTACTAGCTTTATTGTATAATTTGATCTTTTACATTTCAATTGCCTCAACTTATGGAGGAGAGATGCCTCTCTTTTATTCTACACTATGCTTTGTTTTCTTCCCTTCATCACCGGTATCAACTTGTCATAGTTGAAACGTGGTGAGAGAAGATATTTTAGATAAAAACTTTTAGATATAATTGCCATATTAACAAAAACTGAAAAAAACCCAACCCAGGTCCAATAATGACTTGCAACAGGGGAGTGAACACAGCTCCCAAATATATGAAAAATACAACAGACATTATTATTTTTCCATTTAAATGTTCGCTGTTTCCTACAGATATAACCCTGGCAGGTAACCTGTTAAAACCTTGTGACTGCATGACACAGAACACAAAACGTAGGAGACAGTTACAGAATTAATCTACTGTAGGTCTTGACAAGCAATCCAAATGGGAGAGAAAACAAACCTCCGGGAACAGGTCTGAAGAATAGGATCATTTAAAAGAAAAAAAAAAAAAAATCAGAATTGCTCAGGTTTATTCCCAGAACTTCTGTTACGGCCTCAGAAAGCAAAATTGTTAGCAACAAAATCCTAAATCTAAACGTATAGTAAACCCTGATAATTTACTACAATGTGACCTGTAATATTACCTGTATGAGAAGTTTCCTTTTCAATATCATTTTCACCTGCAACAGTAAATTCATTTTGTTCAGTACTTCCAGTGGTATTTGCAGGGTCCTGTTCTTGACTGATCCATCCAGAATGAACGCTGTGTAATAGTGGATGT